CCCCATATTTCGCTTTCTTAATTATGTTACGTATTTCCAGTGTTTGATCTTAAGTAAGACAGGAAATTTAATACATTATTTTATATTAATTTTGTGCTTATGGGAAAAAGGGTGAACTCGAGCGCAAGTTTTTTGTCGCGATACGTAGCGAAATCTTGCGCATATTGTACGTGCCTTTTATTCTAATTTGTATTCATCTTTGCGATAATTTTTTAACTTCTTACATGCATGTAGGAGGGCAATAACCGGGGCCGATCATATGTTTGAGCGCTTCTTGAAAAAACACCGCGTTACGGCCGTTCGAACGATTGCCGTTAAGTAGTGCGAGTGCGATAGGGCGTGTGCGACGGTGCGAGTGAGATAGTGCGAATACTAAGTATGGATGCGACAAACAAAGGAAACATCGGCGAGCGAAAGAGAGAGCGAATATGAAAAGAAAGAGCGAATGTAGATTGCGAGCGTTGTCAAGGGTGTGAAAATCGAAGCGAGTCAGTTTTTGAAAAAGAGCGATTGCGAGCGTAGCGAAACAGCGATATTGTGATTTTGAAAATTTTATGCGTTATTAGAATATACTTACTACTTTTACTCCATCTAACAATTTATTTTTCTACCGTTCCGTACCTCGTTCCTATGTACATACATGTATTAGACTGTAACAATAACCAAGTCCACTTTTGTCCATTGCTCCAAACTTAAAGGAAAGATCTTACAATTTTCTTCCTTACCCCCTTGTATTCTTTACAAACTTTTGAATTATATGCGTACAATTTTATATTAATGGTACATGTAGAGCTTTTAGAATAAATATTATATTGTAGCAGGCGTAAATACGCGAATAGAATATGGGTACAGTATACAGGACCTGTACATGACACCATGGAATCACCGTGTCATCATTGAATCTTTAAAAATCCATAACATTTTATTTCTACCTCGGAAGCTTTCAAGCTATTTCGCTATTTTATTTCTTTTCCCGTATTATTTTATTATTTGATTAATTTTTAATACGTTGGGCAAATATTTAGAACAAGATCATCATTCTGAACAACTTTTTGTTATACATGTAACAGTCGGACACTCGTGTAAGTTTTGAGAAAAGAACCCAAGAGGATGCCAATGACCATTATAAATTGTTTAATCAGTTAACTGTGATTGACGAGTATACTCGTCATGGAGAAGTGGCACGATTTTGTGTATTGACGAGTATACTCGTCATGCGTATAAAGTAGAGACCATTGGCTATTTAAATTATAATTTTTGAGAAAAACAAAACATATTCTCAAATTTCAAGATGTTTAGAATATTTTGAGGTCATGCCAGAATAAAACAAACAAATAAAAGATATAAATAATTTGAAATGAACTCATGCGTCCGCGTATGCACCGGCTGAAACAGCTTACCAGTTCGCACAACGAATTTATTTATGTACGACAACAACGTTTTTTAGATGTTAGCGTGAAAGGAAAGCAAAAGCAAAAGTCGGAAAGCTGATTTATGATAGGGTCCCTTCAGGGATGATCTATCATATGCATTTAATTTTTATTGCGTTTTTCATCTAATAAGTATGTAATATATGTTTAAGTTAACCAAATAAATTTACATTAGTAATAAAAGTGTCAATTTTATAAAATAAACCCATTTTTTTTATCCAATATCTTACCAGCGCAACTTACTCTGTGATTGACGAGTATACTCGTCATGGCTCGATTCTGGCGACACAAAACGGTGCGCGCTCTCAAACGAGGGCGCCACAGTTAACTGGTTAAGAACGATTCCAACTGCAATAACGAAGGCATCAGCGCGTAATTTAAATGAAGCATTACGACGAGGATGAACTAAGTTGCTGATACTAAACTGCTGTTTTGCACTGTTCGAAAGCATGTTCAGCTAGCAGGAGACGATTGAATGGCAGTTTTGAAACCATTCTTATTTTTTGCTAAATATGAACTGAAAGGAGTTTGAATGTATACTATATATTTAACAAAATAACGATAGAAATTAATAACTCCGAGAAAAGGACGTAGTTCTGCAACTGTTGTAGGCTTCAGATAATCCTGAATAACTTTAACTCTATCAGGTAAAGGTGTAATTCCAGAAGCTTTGACTTTATAACCTAGATATGTAACTTCCGTTTTTCCAAAAACACGTTTTGTAATGTTGATAGTTATTCCAAAATCTTTGAATCGTTGAAGTAAAATTTGAATATGCTTTCATATTCTTACAAACTCTGAGATGCAACAAGAATATCATCCAGATAACAATAAACAAAATCCATGAATCTTTGAAAAGTTTGCGCTGCATTTCGAAGACTAAATGGCATAACAACGAATTCGAAGAGTCCGAATGGCGCTGTTATAGCAGTTTTTTGAGTATCTTCTTCTGCCACTGAAATTTGATAGTAAGTTTTAACAAGATCAATGGTCGTAAATATCTTTTTATGATGAAGACGAGAAGACAAATCTTGAATGTGTGGAATAGGATAATCATCTGGAATCGTGATTGAATTAAGTCGATAATAATCTCCACAAGGTCTCCAAACACATGTTTTCTTTAGAACCATATGTAAAGGCTTGCCCATTGACTACAAGAAGGACGACAAATTCCTTGTTCTATCATGGCATCAAATTCAGCCTTAGCTACTTTAAGCTTATCCGTAGAAAGATGATGCGGACTTTCAATAGCTGGAGGACCTCGCGTAACAATGTGTATAATGTCGAACTTGATGAAGTGAAGTAACATTAGCACATCTAGGTCTTATCACTTCAGGAAATTGTGAAAAAATTTGGTTAAACGGATTATCTTTTTCAACAGTTTCTGTAGGAATGCCTGATGAAGTGAGTTGTGTTATGCCATCACGTAAGCAACGATGCTTGAAATTAATTAAAAGTCCGAAATGTCTTAGAAAATCTGCGCTAAGAATTGATCGCTGGACATCAGCACCGCAAAACTGCCACTTGAAAACACGTCTAAGACCTAGATCTACTGTTTTTGTTAAAATGCCATAGGTATTGATAATTGAATTGTTTGCTGCATACAGTTTATAATCATTTTTATGAAATGGTCCTTTACATTTTGATTTAGACAAAACTGAAATATCAGCACCAGAGTCTACAAGAAACTGTATTCTACTAGTGCGATTTATGACAAAAACACGGCTTTTTATATTAGAATCATCGCCAAACATCTTTACTGACAATGGCTTGTGGAGTTTTCCTCTTGTTGAATAAAATTATAAGATTGTTGACATCTTCTGACTGAATTTCCAAATTTCTTGTGAAAGAAATACATTTGTTGAAAATTATAATTAATATTACTATTAGAATTATTATATCGTTTCCTAGAATTTGAACGATACCGATATCTCCCGTAAGTCCTGTACCTGCACCTATTTCGATTAACGTCAACAGTAAGTGCTTCTACCAAACGTTTTAATTCTACACTGTTCCACGAGAAAATGGAATTCTCTACGCGCGGAAATGCACTTTTTGGCGGCACGCTAAACCGGACGTAGGTGTCGCTACATTTCTATATTGTGTGGTGCCATCTAATGGTAGAAGATGAAAACTATTTAAACTGCAGTTTCAATAGTATGTAGTTCACCCTGTTTGCAGGAGAGATGGCGCTACATGTTCCATTTTCATACAAATTTAATTAATATTGATGTTATTGATTAATAACATTAATAACATCCCATATATTTATTATATCTCTATTAATATTGTTTTTATGCTGTTTGCAATATATTCTATACGTCCTAATGACATAAGAATGCAAAAAAATTTTCTTTCGAGTCGTCAAAAACCTTTTTACAGACATCTTTTTTGCAAAAAAGACTTTATAAAATCTGGTCGATACTGGAGCATATCGATTTTTTCGAATTTTCGAAGTTTCGCCAGTTAATTTAACTACTATACATTATAAAAACAAGATAAAATTTTGTAAATAAAATTAGTAATTAAAATATATGCCATAGTTTTGCAGCTAATATGTAGATGATGTCAATCCCTGTTTTATATCTGTAGATAAAATTAATTTACATTTAACTTTATAACTTCATACCTAAATTGTTTTGCTGTTAAATAAGATATTCTTTTTGTAAGTAGATAGAAACGAGACATCATTGCGAAAGCGTTTAAAATATTTGTTATCTAACTATTCAGTAAGTAATTAATTTGTTATTAAAATTTAAAATTTAATATTCAAGCGTTTAAAAAGTTAATTTAACTAATTTAAATTATAAAAGAAGATAAATTTTACTATATATAATTGTTAATTAAAAATACTCGATACAATTTTCAGATAGACTCCACGAAAACAAATTTTAAAATACATGTAAAAGTGGATCTTCGAAAATGCTTTTAATTCATTAAACTAATTACTTTACAATAAAATATAATTTTTTATTTTTTTTGTACATATTAAATTGTCGGGATCAACATCCGCCTTTTTAATTTTTGCACATTAACTTAATCTGAAAGACATAAATTACAAAATATCTGAACTCTAGACATTTTCACTTCAAGTCATTTCTCTATATGTATGTATTTTTTTGGCGCAAGTTTCTTTATAAAGACAATTTGAAATTTTGGAAAACTTATGGTTTCTAAATTTTAATCATGTATAAGAAAATATATTAATGTGTCACGTTATAACATAAGTTCATAGTATTCTTTCTTCCATTCAGAATTAAGTAGTTTCTAATGCAATATCGTTCGTATAAAATACTATACATATATCACTTCGTAGTTGTATCTTTTATCTAAAATGCATCTTTTCTATATTTCTCATTTTAAGTTGAAATTGAAAATTTAAAAACGAAAAAGGGGTATCAAGGTTCTTATCACTAAAAATTTATAAGTCGATATAAGTAATAAAATATCACTATCTATAAATTTATTTCATTTACATGAATATTTACAGCTTAATGACGTTTTACTTTGTACTTTGAATTAAACAGTAATCTTATGGCAGTCAGATTTCACGAGCGGTCAGTAGTAGAGTTAGAGGCTGGGTAAATGTTCTCCGTGAGGGTGGAAGCCAGTTTCGTCAGCAACATAATTGACAGTGTATGCAACATTTGTCAGTGGATCAACGAAGGAAAAGCTGCCGTGAACTTTCAAGAATGGACCCTCAGTTCCACCTTCTACTACTTCTGCAGTTTCCTGTTTTGCCTGTCCATCAGAAAGTTGGTATCCATAATTGTAAGAGCCAAGACCGACATTGTCAGAGGGAGTTTCGTTAACGACCACTGCCGCTTGGGGCTGAACTGGTGGTGCTGCGAGAGCAATGGCGATGAGAGCAACAAAAACTACGATCTGAAAAAAATTGGAAACATTCAGTCAGGTTAAGTCAGGATAAATTTAAGTTGCTGGAAAGATTCTGAAGGATTCTTTATGCACTATCTTATCTAATATTTTCATAATATTTTATTACTTCTATAGTTCATCATTTCAATTATATGATATAAGTGCTTTTAATTAGCTAATTGAGATTTACGAATTCAGAAATTAAAAAATTTAGAGATCTGACTTTGGAAAATGGGGATTTGGTAATTGGAAAACTTTGTGATTTAAAGGTTTAGTAAGTTGGTAATTTAAGGATTGAGCAATATAGGGATTTGGTAATTTGGTGATTTAGAGATTCGAAATTTGGACATTTGAGAAATGGATAATTTGTAGATATTTTAAATTGGAGATTTGGCAGTTTGTAGGTTTGATAATTTGGAAATTAGTAGATTTAGTAATTTGGAGATTTGATCATTTGAAAATTTGATACTTTGTAGATTTGTTAATTTGGAAATTTAAAAGCTTAAGAATTTAAGGATTTTGTAAAGAAACTTAAAAAGTTTGAAAAGAATGAAAATTTAGTGACTTCACAATTTGTCAATTTAGAAGTTTAATAATTTAAAAATTTGTAAATTTGATTATTTTGAAATTTGATAATTTCAAACATCTAATATCAACTATTTATCAGTGCAAATATTTATCATAAATATTTATCGTACATATGAATATTATAATAATCTCACAATTATTTATATTAATTACTAATATTCATTAATTTTTTTTATGAAAAAAGTTGTATAACAATTCACAAAAAAAATAAATTGTAATTTGTATCGGATGCGAAATAATTTTGAAAACTTTTGGTAATTGAAACCACAATTAGCGATGAGATTTTAGCTACCATAGACGTTCAGATACGTACGGATTTCATATTGAAAGTGAATGTACTTTGTCTGTGTTGTATGGCACACTATGTAGATACCAGAAATCATCTGCAATTTTATAGTAGCTCTCCTCCTGCCAAAATTTACACGGTTCCATATTAACGTCACCTTTCACCTTTCCCCGGTATATAACAATCTCTGATTGTTCGACCTTCATCGTGCGTATGTTGAAACTGAAATTTTCGATATTTTATGTGAATTTAAATCAGTTTTATACAAGGTTAATTTCCAAGATAGGTAATAATTCATTGTGAAAATAATGAGAAAGTTATTAATGACATATCATAATACTCTTATATTGTAGTATGCGTAATATTATTGTTATAACATATTTGTTTATAACAATATGAGCAGGTTTATTTGCTTACATGTATATAGCAACTTGATTTGTTTATAACAACGTCAACTAGTTTTTTAATGCATTTAAGGATATAGAAAGTTAAATTCTTTGAAAATTAAATATTTTTGTGGATTAGGTAATCAATTTCCTTGAAAATTAAATATTTCTGAGGACTAATTGCTAAGCAGTGAAAGTGCGACCAGAGTTTTTATAAAATATTTATTAAGTATACTATATTATTCAATATAATAATATAATAATATAGTATATTAAATATAATATATAATATTAATAAATAATATTAATAAGCTCTAAAATGATATCGAACGTGGTTCATTTCATTGTATTTAACACATTCCTCTTTTTTAAAATTAATATTGAATTAAAAAAAATATAATGTGTTCCTTTAGCGTTGTTTCCAAAAAATTTAACTTCGTGAAAATTGTAACATATAACATGACAAAGTTGAGTGCCATAAGAGACTATTTTATACACAAGATAAAGTTGGACGATGTACGACACACAATGGACAAGTTTTTAGGCTTCATAAAAATATCTTCACAATTTAGAACTATGTCGGATTTTATTATATCATGAAAGAAAAGACAATGTTGGGTTTTGCCGCAGAAAATGTAAAAAATAAGTACTTTTTATTCGTAGGAACACTTATTCATTGCTGTCTTTCTAGGTTCTTTCGGGCAGCTTAAACAAAATGGAGATAACAATACTCACGATGAAATGTCGTTATAATTTAAACATTTACTCAATTTGTTTAGTGAAATGGAAATGTACGAAGAGGAAATATCTAGAGAAAATTTTAAACAAATATTCAGTTAGAAAGCTATAATATTTATAGATTTATTAAATCGTTAGCATCTATTGGGATTGTTTCAAGATGTTTAATTCAATTTGAAATTTAAAATTGAGTGAAACATAAATCGAGAAATGTCGTCTCACGGGAAACCTCATTTTTTTAAAGCTCGATACTTAAAGCTCGACTTTTCAAAAATGAGATATGTGTTATTTTATCTGTTAAAAAGTGCAATAAAAAGATTTGATTTCTTCATAAGGAAACAATAATTAAATTTAGAATAAAATAATTTGTGTAAACATTTTAAAGCTAATATGCACAACAAATACTTGTTTAATGCAATATATACACTTAAAACTACTATACAATAAAATACTAAATAAAACAAAATAAAACAGATACCTAAGATTTTTATAAGCTTTCAACGAAAATAAGCTGGAGTTTCATGTCGGGAAAGCTCCTCATATTAGGCAACATTATCCTACAATATTGTCATTGATTTTAATTTTTATCTTAATTACAATATTTGGCTTCAAGGCCTAGAAACCTTCGTTTGTAAAAAAATATTTGCTTAGCCCGCCTACATGTAAGCTAACATTTCTCCAGATGTATGCTGTAAGAAATGGACAATTTGTAATGAAAACGTTACGTACAGTAAGCACAGTAGCATCATGCAACGAGTAACACTTCCAGAACATATTTATATGATGACAAACATATTTGGTTTACATCAGCATGGGTACCCAATCAGAATCACGCATACGATTTCCATCACTTCATGAAGGATCACTAAACTGAACTTTACATGTGACCTTTTCACATCAGTTATTCGGACGAGCAAATTGAGTCTTCTATATTTTTCCATATTTTGTGACTACTATTTTTACGTTTTTATTAAACATTTCGCAATCAAACTTGAAATACACCTACTATACAAAGGTTTAGAATTAAACAACATTAATTCCAAAAGTAATACGTTGGAGTCAAACAATGTTATTTCTAGTCAGCGTACTTTACTTCTGAATAAATTCCACAAAATCAAAACCTTATTTTCAAAAACTAATCATATTCTCTAAATAACATTTTTCTAGTAAAAACATATGACTTTTGTGATTTTAAATCTATCATTATCATAAAAGAAGGATTGTTTACGTTAACCCCTTGCACTATGATTTATTTGTCAGATGCTTGTTAGTTATTAGTCAGAACTAACTAATCAATGCTAAAATATTAAAACAGGCAAAGATTATATCAATTTGATATTACGCAACCGTTGACTACGCAACTTATAATTGGACTCCAAAATGATGGTCCAAATTGAAGCATATTAAAAATTCGAATAAAGTTGATCTGCTGAAGTATAATACAAGTGCGTCACGAGCCAGACTCATCAAAATAGTGCAATGGGTTAACGTCGTCTGACTATAAATTCTCATATAACTTTTGAAATTGTGCATTAATCATCAATTTCTCATTTCTGCAGGAAAAAAGTCATCTACGATCTTCCTTATCGATTATTGGTAAGGTTGTGTTGAAATAAATACCATCAATATCAACGTTATCAAAGAGATCGAACATAATCGCTGAGGAGGGTAATAAATTGTTCGTAATTCTAGGAACATGACATTTATAAGGATAATTTCAATAAATATTTGTGTTCTTTATTACAAAAAATTTATAAACGTTATACATAATTCATAAACATTATAAACATTTTAAATTACAAAATTTTTGTGTCGATTTTAGTCGAGATAAGCGTATGAATTTTTTAGTTTTTTATACCCTGATACTAGTAGTATTCATAATATAAACGAAAAAACCTAATTAGAATTGTGAAAACTTCGTTATTCAAATTTGTGTAGCAATCCTATCCTAAATAGATTCACAATTTACTTTTCCTTTTTTCTTTTTTACAAAATTGAATGTTTTGAAATTTTGTAAAGTTAAAAATGATATTGTATGTAAAAATTTCTGTATGAATGTATATCGGAATCTATTTTGTCTTACAGCTTTAGTTTTAATGGAAACTGTTTCCAACTGAACACAAAGATGTCTCTACAGGATACACTGATACCGTTCAATTTTAATTTTAAGTTTAGTTTAGTTTATTGGTTTTCTTCATTACAAAGATAGTGATTGAAACAGTCTCATTTTGTCTGAGAACTATATTATCCATATTCATTCATTTTTAAAAGGAATAGAATAACGGAAGTATTAGGTTAGGGAATAAGTTCGTAGCGTTTTGACATTTTCTTTTTTTTACAGCGACATTTTGCAATTTGCAAGGGGATATAATATTCATTCGATAGAGCTCTTTCTGCTCTACAAAATTGTGTTAATCGTTTTTTTCAGTAGTTTCATTCGTTATTACTATTGAGGCTCAGAAATGGAATATCCAGGAGGTAAAAATTAGCACTTTCGACACCTACTCTTCTTTGCTATCCATCGCGGCCAAAAAGCTGCTGAAGCAGCCCGGGATATTTGCAATGTATACGGAGAAGATGTCATAGGTGAGTCGACAGCACGGAAATGGTTTGCAAAATTTAAAAATGGTGATTTTAACGTCGAAAACCCGCCCCGCAGCGGAAGACCTTCTGAGTTCGACGAAAAGCGTCTCTGAGCACTTGTGAAGCAGCATGGTCCTCAAACTAGTCGTGAATTGGTCGAAAAAATTAACTGTAAAATGTATACGGAGAAGGTGTCATAGGTGAGTCGACAGCACGGAAATGGTTTGCAAAATTTAAAAATGGTGATTTTAACGTCGAAAACCCGCCCCGCAGCGGAAGACCTTCTGAGTTCGACGAAAAGCGTCTCTGAGCACTTGTGAAGCAGCATGGTCCTCAAACTAGTCGTGAATTGGTCGAAAAAATTAACTGTAACCACAAAACTATTCTCAATCATCTCCATTCAATTGGATTTGTCGAAAAATTGGGAGACTGGGTGCCTCACAAAGTGAACGCTACGAACTTCTTGCCCAACCTTAGGTTGAATTTCGCAAACCATTTCCGTGCTGTCGACTCACCTATGACACCTTCTCCGTATACATTACAAATATCCCGGCCTATTTCAGCAACTTTTCACAACATTTTGGCCGCGATGGAAAGCGAAGAAGGGCAGGTGTCGAAAATGCTGCTTTTGACCTTCTTGATATTCCATTTCTGAGCCTCAATAGTAATGACGAATGAATCTACTGAAAAAAACTATTAACACAGTTTTGTAGAGCAGAAACAGCTCTATCGAATGAATATTATAACCTCTTGCAAACTGCAAAATGTCGCTGTAAAAAAAAAGAAAATGTCAAAACGCTACGAACTTATTCCCCAACCTAATAGATATTGTCGATATCGCTTGTTTTGTTTTCTCAGTTATGAAAGAAATTCGTTTCGCTATACCTTTAGTCCTAATAGATTAATATATTTCAAAATTGTTGGGAAAATTTTTCTAAGACACTGATATCATTTAATTTTGTAAAATATAAATTAAGAGGATTTGAATTATTAGAATTTAAATGTTATTCTTTTAGTTGCAAAAATTTCTCTTTTTTTACCGATTATAACAATATGCTTTAAACAGGAATAAAAGATGGTTTGATGTGCAACATTATCACTTGAGTTTGACAAAAATTGTTAAGTAAATATCAGTGATGTTTGGGCGGAAACAGTTGTCCAACCTTATTGCTACTTTTTTTAAAAATTACACAAGTTTTTTTGTTACAAAAAACCGGTAGGCTCAACGAAGTAATTTTGTAAAATTTTGCTTTTATGTTCTTAACTTTCAAAGATTGTCTTCTTTGAAAACAAGTGTTGTAGATGTTATTTTTTTCGTTTTTAATTTTAAACAGCTGCGTTCTTTGGAAGTAATGTTTTTTAAATTTTACACTTCCTTTTAAACAAAATAGATTTGCCAATTAGACGATTATTTCAAATTTTAAAGTAGAATTATATTTTATATTCAAGCAATATTTGCTTAAAATATGATTTTTGATGTAGATCCAAGTCCTTTAAGGCTCCTTTTTTATTGTTAGTATATTTTTTAACATTCTTTATTAATATATGCATAAACTCTATGACTACACTTATAATGATGGTATACTTCCATATCATTATAGCATATTTTTACATATACCATACTTACTCTCTATTTCTGTACTAATATAGTACAGAAGTATATTTTATACGTTCTATATTATTTTTATACTAATACATCATTTTTGCACTAATATACTTTCATTGATATGTGTCGTTATATCACTGGAAACAAATTTAAAAACAAATTTAAGCATCCACTCCACACAATCTCATATAACGAAAACAATGTAAAGTTCTAGTGTAAATTCAGAAGCAGTAAATAAATATTTGTATACAATTAAAATTCCAGTCTAATAAATGTATACAAAAGCGATAATTCCTATACATATATAAATGCATGGAATACAGATTTCCGTTCATTTTATAACAGTTTCATTTGTACAGAAAAGACGATGGCCAAATTACGATCATTTCATAACTGATCGAAAATTTCATCAATTTCACTCGATCACTGATATCAATATCACTAGTTGACCGTTTAATTTACCATCTCACTAGAGATTTAACAAACCCACTATATCCTACTGAAAATGCTAATAAAAATGATAAAGAAGAAAGGAAAGGTGGTTAACAATTAGAGAATCAGATAATTCGGTGCAAAATTTATTTAAAGCTAAGGTCTGTACAGTTTAAGCGCGGATGTGATCGCCTTGCGGTTGGAAGCCATTCTCGTCAGCGACGTAGTTGACGGTATACCTCACATTGGTTTGAGGGTCTACCCAGGTGAAGCTACCACGAACAGCCAATGCTTCATTTTCGGTTCCTTGGTTCACCAATTCCGCGGTTTCTTGATGAGCTTGACCATTCGAGAGTTCGTAGCCGTAATTGTAATTGCCGAGTCCAATGTTGTCAGAGAGTGTTTCCTTAACGAGAACAACATCCTGGGGTTGACCTTGAGGGGCAGCACAGGCGACAGCGACAACGACGGCGAAAACTGCGATCTGCAAAGAAAGGAGAACGCTTAGCACCTCGATCAGAAAATGCAATGCAAACACGTGAAACTGTCTCTCCGCATCGCTTGTTAATTCGTAAAATATACAACTTTCAGCGACGTTGGTAAAACTGAAAACTTTTTACCGAGTATCATGTTCGTTTTGTATCGGGTACTTTCATTATTTTGCCTATTGGAATTTTAGATAGGTGATTTGTGAAAAGAATTACTGTAGTTTCTAATTTTCGCACGTTTTGACTTTAAAGACCTAACGTAGTAAATGAGTATGGATATTTCTGTAAAATCCACACTGAAGTTTAAGAATGCAATAGAATCTTTTTATATCGCAGACAAAATAATAATGAGTAAACATCAATAGTGTCTGTAAAAATTCATATAATTTAGTGAGAATCGAGTGTATTGAAATAATAATAATAAATAATAATAAAATAATAATAAAAGAACACAAATTTTGAAAAAGGTCATACTTCTTAATCTTATTACATTTTTACTTTGAACATGTCTAAAGGTTCGTAATTAAGGACTTTAATAATTTTTTTTACGACTGTTAAAAACATTTGAAATGACAAATTTTGTTGTCTAACACAACCGATAATTTTACCGCAATTTCACAATTAAAGATTTACAAAATTTGCAATTAAAATGGGGCTAAAAACTGGAAGCATTCGAAGCTTTTTATATTTTAAATTAGTTATTGAAATTTTTATAACTGAAAATATCAGTAATAACGTCTAAATTATTTTTACTGCTATTAGGGACAGAAAAAAAATAAATTATGTGACTTTTTTGATCACTAAGTGTACATCCTGAAATCACATAGTGAAGCACTTTGTATACTAATTGTAATAACAAACACGTTATTTTTTATTAAATTGGCTATTAGTTCCTGTTGATCCATACCTTAAATATACAGCACTAATATAAGGATACTACACATTAAGTAGCTGATTTCAAAGATAGAAAATCAAATACGACTTGATGACACATAAGTACTACAAAATATCACTTATGGCATATCAATTTAAAGCTTAGGATCCAATGAAAATTACTGTATAGATATTTTGTTAATATTTTGCATAAAAATTGACTAGTTGTCTGTAATAACAAATAATAATCGATTTCGCGACCTCTACATAGTGACACAATTTGATGACATAACTGTCACAAAATAAAACTACCGACTGTTAAATAATTATTATACTGTATTGTTATATAGACATTGTATAATTCTATAGTGTATTATACTGCATTATGATATTAGTGTATAGAATAATTGAACAATTTCTTGACACTCACTTTGTGTTAAAAACATGTATGAAAAGCTTCAGCAGACATTCTCAAAATACTTTAAGCTATAATTTGATATATCACAAGTAGTATTTTAGTAAACTTTTATATCACCAAATTGCAACAGATGTTTTTTTACGTTTCAAAATTTAATAGTAACGTTTGTAGGCGTTCATTTTCACTGTGGTAGTTAACGCGTTAATTGCTCCGATTCGTCACTGTCTTCTCGATCACGAGAACTAATTTTCCAGGATAACGCGTTACATAAAACGAACGAAGATCCGTTAAAAGCGATTTACTTAAATATAAGTCTACAACCGTGTTTATGTTCGAATAGGGTAGAAGAACAATGATGCTGATAGTTCGTATAATTGCGAGGTGTATTATACTGTTAATGGTACATAACGATCATGTGCGCGCACGTTAATTACACGTTCGTAACCGTTCTGCTAATCGTCGACGATCTCGTAAACGGTTTGAATTTCCAGGATAAACAGAAAAAACATATTTTCCGAATCAGAGACATGAATACAAATTGCCCCTTTGAAAAGTTAGGTTAGATTAATCCACCGGGTTTCGCTAAAAAATACCACGTCATTTCTAAGAGACAAAGTCACTTTTTCAATTTTGGATGAAGTTATATTATTTTGTAATAATAAAACGAAATTTATATTGTGAAATTTCTGTGGTTTGAAATATTCTATTTAAAAATCTTTTATTTGAAAACATTTTAATTTGCAATTTTCTATTATTATTTTGAACTGTAATGTTTTTAATAGTTCAATTTTGAAATTTTTTATTCTGAAACATTCTATTTTAAAGTTTCTCATTTTTGAACATTGTATTTTAAAATATACTAATTTGAATTAAATTAAGATGGTCTATGGCGAACGAATTTCAAATCAAACTTAAATGTTTTCAAAAATTGTAACTTCGACTTTTTACCAAAAAGAAAAATATTTTTGCAATTTGTATAACGATCGAACACTGATTAATTACAAAACACCCTGTGTGCACTTAATATCCGGTTAAGAGTTAATGAAAACAACACGCACCAGCTTCATGATTGATGTAGTTTTTCTTTTGGAGTATCTCCTTTGAGAAAATGTAGCAGGTGTTAACTCAAGATGAGCTAGATCACAATACTGGTTCCATGGTGGTCCGGGGCGATTATATAGTCGGATTTCGATATGAATTTTACCCCTTCCATCGTGCAGACCCAAAATTCTTCAGAGAAGATGTTGTAATCGTCGAATGGCATTGGCCACTTGGTGATGGTAGAACGATGACCGATGAAGGAAGAGACAGTGAATGTCAGGTAGAAATTCGAGGAAGAGCAGCGAAAATTTTCTGGTTTCACCATAGCCCTGTTTCGTTGGATTTACGAGGGTCTGACCAAACTTGGTTTGGACAATGTGTGCAGTTGATGTCAGAGTATTCTTATTAAATGAGGAGCGTAGGTTTGATATACTGATACAGGAAATTAAGTTCAAGAAGAGGTAGCTTCATACTGGATGTGGAGTAACTGTACGTAACATGGGACTTTTGATTATAATCTTTAATCATCGTGGAACGAGTATTTCGATTCATGATTCAGAGAGGTGATGATAGGGTGTCGTGTAAGATGGTAAAATCGAATAGGGGATGAAAGGCATTCATCAAAAATCACATTTTTCTAAGTGAAAAATTGATTGGAAATATAGGACACAATTTGTTAACATAATGAAAAATTGATATCGACAGTTTGTTAAAATATTTGTAAGACAGTTTGTCTATTGCAAGAGAGACTATTTAACAGTTTTGTAGTTAATTCAGTAATTAATGAATGTTATGAATTTGTACATGTGATTGTTGATACCGATAAAATTATTATTACATTATCTCTTTATGATGTTACTTATATGTGTATTATGTGTATATCATTCTTGCGACTAAATTATTCTTTTTTTACCTAATAGTATCTTAAAGAGTGATAGAATTAATAGTATTTATACTAACATTAATGGTACCATAAAGGACAGTGATGGTAATTGTTTGATAATTCATTTTACTGATATTAGTGAACACATTCATAAATTTATGACACGTATTAATTCTTAAATTGAAGAAAGGTTTGTTAAAACTTTTATCTTTGTTGCAATAAACAAATGTTCTTACAAATATTATGAAAAGTATATGAATTGAAATTGTATTACTAATATGAAAAGAGATAATGAAAAGAAATAATGAAGAAATAATGAAAACAGTAAAGTAACGATATTAACATAAAATAAAAATTGTCAATTTGGTACACAAAAACGTTATACACAGAAAACAATGGAAAAGACTACTTAATGCTAAAAAAATGTTAATATTTTAGAAAATGAGTTTTATTTTAAATTGTGTATCGTACATTTTAAAAATTTATGCCTGGGAGATAAAATTGAAAATAATTAAAGTTAAGCATTCGGATCCTGAATTAAAAAATGCTTATCAATATTTGGAGAGATTTATTTCACGTTGCACAATCAGAAATTCCGTCAAAAGTCTTTCTAGTAAAGCTAGGTAAGAGCTCTCCAATGGATCAACATAACTCAATACAAATTGGATTTATCCCTGCGTTACAACACAAGAATCTTTGCTATTCACTGTCGTTTACATTTTATATTTATTGGTCATCCATCAAAATCGTATGTAACTTTCGAAGGTCAAATTAGTATTCAGCTTTTCAAAAGATGAGTCTTAATGTACGACAAGCAACAGTAATAAATTAATGATCTTCGGACGATGAAACTTAGTTAATTGTAACCTAGATTTATAAAATACAATAATGTTTCAAGAAAGGCTCATTTTTCAATAACAGTTTAAACCTCGTTTAACCTTAGTTTTTATCAAGTTTTTATATTCATTTACGCGTAGTTCTTACTGCACATCATATATTTTACTATTTACTGTTTCAACTTAGATCATTTGAACGGTAAAATGATGGTTCCGCCATTGGTAAATAAATCTATAAAAATAGTGTATTCATTGTTACTTAATAAACTATAAGTACGATTTATTTTACAGAGACTTTGTTCTTAAAAAGCCAAATAGACATAACAAATTTCATTTAACTATAGGCTATCTTTTCATATGTTCATTAAATCACATTTTTATGAGTAAAGCAAAAATAAATTATTTCAGTTTGATTATGATTCATATTGCTTTTTAAACCATAGTTGAAGAACCGGCTCTTAGATATATAAATTTTTAAACAATAAAGTTTTATAAAAAGGATTGTCAGTTAAAATATTATAAATTTATTGTATTTATAGTATTTATAATAGTTATATATTATAAATTTAAAGTATTAAACAATTTCAAATACATATTTTTTTATTTTCTTTATTTCTTTATTATTTTATTTTATACATATTCATATTTCTTATAATGTAAGTACAATCTGTAATATTTATAGAGTAAATTTCTGCGTTAATATGAATATTATTTTTACTTATCTTGTAATACTTTAAAGAACTTTTCCAATAGATGAAGTGGAATAGCATATAATCCTTATCAATGTTGCATGAATAACCTCGTCAAAATTTATTGAATAAAAACATTCAAATTTATAATTGATAATTAATACAGAAAGAAAATTAGGTTTTTAATCGCATAAGTTTATATAAGTATAGATAAATATTTTATACAATAATATTTGAAAATGATTATTAATATTTACTTTTATGTGTTATTATTATACATACATTCATATATTAACTTTTAACTGTTTATTTATTAAATGAATTTTATAATTTATTTAATATTTAATATTTATTAGAAATAGAATTTAATATTTAAAAATACACAAACTGCATTTCAACAATTTTTCTTTACAATAAATAGTTTTCCGAATATTTCGCTGAGTGTATTTTTCAATTTCTACTTTGTGCAGTAGGATTTAGAAGAAATACTGCGGCCATTGTAAGAAGATCTTGGTGAGGTTTAAGGTACATACTTTTAGAGAATATGAAGAGTCTGAAAACAGTTCAAAAAGAACCTAGATCAAGCGTGACTTTTCTTTTGTGCACATGCCAAAATGTAGAAATAACATTTATCAAATTAATACTTTAAGAGTACTAAAACTAATAGAAAATTAGTTACTGTAAAATATAATTGAAAGTAATTTAAAAATTAATCTAAAAACTTTATAACTTAACATACACAATGTCGTATACCAACAAATCGAAATCAATTAAACTTATTAATGAAATTTTTGTTGTTTTATAATTTATGATAAATACTTTCTATGAGATTTATATTTTGACATATTTAAAAATATACGCGCTCAATTAAATTCATTTAAAAGTTTAAAAAATTGCTTGATTAAAAATTCTTTTCTAAATTTGTAAATCCTCAAATTTCCAAAGATTCAAAAGATCATGTTTCCAAATTTCACGAATTTTTGAATATTCAAATTATCAATTCAAAAATTTTCGATAGCTATAATTTCCAAGTTCTTCAATTTTTAAATCCTACAATTTCCAAATTTACATATCTTTGAATTATCAATTTCTCAAATATTCAAATTTACAAGTACCTCCATTCTCAAATTCCCAAATTCCTAAATTCCTACATTGCCAAGTTCCCAAATTTCCAAATTCCTAAATTTCTAAATTCCGAAATTTTCAAATTACTAAATTACCAAATTACCAATTTCCCTAATTCCCAACTTCTCAAATTTCCAATTTCCCGAAGTCCAAAATTTTCAAATCTCGAAATTCTCAAATTTCCATATTCCCAAATTCTCAAATTCCTGAATTTCCAAATGTCCAAATCCCTTTCACAAATTTCCATATTTCAAAATCTTTAAAAATCTAAAAAATTCCAAATTCTTAGATTTCCAAATTCCTATGCTCTCAAAATACCAAATTTCTAAACTTTCATATATGTATATTCTCAAATTCCCTTTCTTGCATTCCTCAAATTCCAAACTCCCCAAAAGTTCCTAAATTACCAAATCGCCAATTGCAAAATTTCCAACTTTCTATAAACTTCCAAATCGAAGAATTTGCAATCTCCGTAAATCTTCATCAGCCTATCGCCGCACGCGTCGTGCATGTCAATTGCCGCGAGCTTGTAAATGGGTACTTGATTTCATCAAGGTTGTACCGTGAAAAATGAAAACAACATATTAGCTATTCCTATTTTTCCTCTAACAATTTTCCTTCCCCACTAATGTATGCAAACCTTACTCGCAATTAATTCATTTCTATGAAAAAATATGTATAGATTGATGTAAGCTGTCTACAAATCAAATTCCCAAACTGTTTTTCATCCTTTTCGTCTTCCTCTTCGTCGAATGGCATAATCATTAATTGCCTCGTGAAGTTCTCGTGTCAAAGCGTCAAAACATCGCGTTTCGCGGATTCTGCCGACAATAAATGTATAAATCTTGCAAATATATTCATAGTAGCAATAGTTAAAAATAAAGCTCACCGGGATAAGCGAAGATTGCGTCAAGGCGACCTTGTCGTTCCTCCGAGTTGTTCTTCCGGGAGGAGCATCGAAAATGGCGCCATTGTAGAATGAAAGGCAGGAAAGAAGTAGGTGCAGAAGTTCGAAAAGAAAGTGTTCGGTGTTACATAAGTAAGTTACCCGCTTATGCTAATACTCGAAAGAACAAGTATCGATGCAGAGAAGTAGAGAGGGAAGAAGACGAGTCTCGGATGAGAAGAAATGTATGCTGTCTGTGTCGTGTGTGCTAATGATTTTTTCTTCGCTTTTTATGTCCATGTAATTGATCGAAAGCTGAAGACCGATCGGCGTAATCAAACGTACGTACAGCTAATTGACAAGCAGTTATGTTATGAACCGTGAATATGTGAATATCTTGCAAATTCAGACATAGTGACGTGAAAAATTAACGTAATAGTCCTGCTTTTATAAAATACTATTTTTTATGTATATGGTGTACTAGTACATTATAGTATTATATTTTATTAGCAACATGATGACCTATTGATGAATTTTTTATGTTTGTATTATTTTTCGAGAAATTAGGTAAACTTAAGTCGTTTGAACGGAATGTTATGTATTTTCTAAGGTTGTATGAAAGCATGTATTGAGGTGAATTCATTTATGTGCATGGCTATGACCGGCAAGGCCATGCAAGGCCAGAAATTAAAAAAATAAATAAAACATTTTGCAATATTGTATTTCTTAGTAGGTTGGTAGTACGAATTGATAGAACTACATGTCACAATATGTCAAAATTGCAAGTTGTATTGAAAATACAAATAATACTGTAGTTAATTCATACAAATTCTATTAAAGTTATTTAAGTAAAGTAGTAAATAATCATATCATCTCTTATGTCAAATTATTTGTTATTTTATTCGAATGACTTAATTAATTAAAATAAAAAATTATTTAAAAACAGTTTATTGGAATTTCATGCAAATTAAAGACACCTTTTCTATCTTATCCTTGGAATAAAAATAATAAGTTAACTGCAATAATTTACTTCTTGAAATTGTTCATTTTTATTTTATACAAATTTTTCGTTTGCACTTTTGTTTTTTATTCATACTATTAGTTATTAAGTACAATTACATTATATGCAAGTGAGTACATAATATTATATAATATAATATTTTATATATAATGCATATAATATAATTATACAAGGGTGTAATATAATTAAGAAGGGAATAATTTAATGTGTCCGTGAACTAAAATTTTTAAATATATGCATTAAATTCACTTAATCTGATTACTTTTGGATTGACAATTTTTTATAACAATGAACGACAATTTTTATGATATTAAACAATGGATGAAAGATTATAAATAATTACATTATTTGTATAATTTACAATTGTCACAATTTGTACGCTTAATGTTACATAATTACAGCAGCTACATTTCTTATAAACAACTATTTTTATAGGTACCAAAATTTATTTAAAAAATTTACGAATTGTTGTCTATTCTTTAAAAGAATATTCTAATACGAATTCTCTAAGATTCTTTATCCTTTATCCCTAAGTGAAATCATAGAAATCAATAACAATAGCTAAGAACGATTATAATGATCCCCTAACCATAGTAAAAAAATAGTTAATAAAGTTAGATTAAGAACGATGGAAGTTTAAAAGATCAACGATACTGGAAAGATATTTATTTTGAAACTGCTGCAAGCCCATTTTAGGTTCAGATTATTTTAGCCGAATATATTACGGTATTTAGTTCTAGTAAATTTCAATAATACGGTCAATACTGTGCAAAATTGTGAACTGCATATTGGTGACATTACCTGAATATGAGTAAGGATCTGTAGGTTTATCTAGGTATCACTGCTGCTTTCTATTATCAATTTGCAAGTAAGTTCAAGTTGAGTTTCTAATAAATAGCCAACCAATTTGATATAAAAAATGTTTCTGAAAAAGAAGGAAATTAAAAAGAGGCATAACTCAGTAACTGAAATATCCGTTCAATTTTGAGAGTGAAGCAATTTTATTTGGATAGTAAACATACATCACCTAACACCGCAAAATACAAAAAATCTGTTTATTAATGCTTGCCAATATTTTCAAAATTTATTCATAGTAACAAAAAATGAACTTGCTCTACTTTCAAAATAAACGACTTATATTAAACAAAACTTAACCTCTATGGTTTTCTCAACATGTTGCGTCAGTTCTAGCTAAATATTCACTGCTGCAATGTTAAAACAAATAAAGAAAGTTGAAATCCTATGTATGCATTGCACCTAAGAACCTTTGGCTATGTAAACTACAATTAGAATTCAACAGAAAACTCAATTGCGCATAGGTACATAATTTTGACAAGTTTGAATTGTGGATGGCGTCATAAGTATGACACAATATCAACCAGGGGGTTAACATTGCACATGTCAGATGTTTGGAAACAGACGGTACTTAAAGAAGATAGATAGATAGATGATAGATAGATAACAGATAGATAATAGATAAATAAGGTGAAGTAGGGTAAATGCAGACTGGTTTTTGTAAAGTTGGTAATAAACGTAAGTATTTTCAATCTGCTATGTAAATACTTAACGCTGTCGATATCGAACGCTTTGCACAATTACTACTATTTAATTAATATTAACTAGGACCTCAATTTTCCTTGTACATTTTGATTTTGATAGGAAATTGCTTAAAATGTCAACTACTCTGCACTTTCCCCGAAAATGGGGTAACAGCGTAACTTGAAGTTAAATACTTTGAAACTTTATTTCGTGTGCAATGGGGCAAGAGCAGAATTATTAACAAATCTGCTATAAAATGCTTTTTACTGCATTATGCAAGTACTCTATACTGCAAACAAGTACTCTTAGCTGAAATATAAAAGGGGATATAGTGAAACAGAACAGGGAAACAAACATACTAAATGGAGAAATTTCGCTCATATTGTAATAAAAATAGCCTGTATACGCACTTACCCCGTTTACGAACTGACCCCACTTCACCTTAATAGATAGATAATTAAAGTGTTTATAAACACATGCAATTAAGTCTTTAGATTTTAAAAATACAATAGCAAATAAAGGATACAGTAATCTGAGTAAAAATGTAAAAACGTATTGTTTTGCTTTCTGAACTATTCTATGTTCGACAAAGCATCAGTCAATGTAGGATCTGTACGACATACGCAAAAGTTCAGACGCACAAGATTTGCTTATATCAAATCATCGTTATATTTCGAAATACGTTCATGTTCGTAAAAGTTCCTTAATCCTTTCGATGGGCTACCGTAATTCCTTCGAGAATGAACGATTACTGTTTAATTTGCCCAATTTTGTACAAGATCTTATATAATTTAATATCGGTTACGCTTGTATAGCCAAAAGAACCAAGTATTGGGCCAACGATGCTCGAATCGGAGTCCATTAAACGGTACGCACAGGAGTCGTAAAGTTATCGTATAATACGAGGGAAAGAGATTCTTCAAAGAGAATTATGTAATGAGTTTACGTTTAATATTATTCGATATCTTCTGTGGTCGCTTCTTCATTTTGATTTCACTTTCATCCACTTTCTAACCTAAAAAAATAATATTTGTTTTCTAATTTCACTTTAAATCAATAATTACGTGTGAAAAGTAGAGAAGGAAAAGGTTGCAGGATATCCAAAAAAAATTTCGGAATAAAAATTTCTGAGAGGTCCTGAGTAACTGGGTCGACTTACATATTAAAATAAAATTTTCAAACGTGATTTTCGATATTTTAGAATCTGTCAGTTTTGGGATTCCGGATTTTTGAATCTTTGGAACTTAGAGTGCTTAGAATTTTAGAACTTAGGAACTTCGAGGTTTTGAAATTTTTGGTCTTCAAAATTTTAAAAGGTCAAAAGTTCGGAAGTTTGAAAATTTTAAAATTCGAAAGTTTAAAATTTTTGAAATTTGGGTCTTTGGAATTTTAAAATTTTAAACCTTTGATACTTTGGTACCTTAGAGTTTCAAAATTATGCAATTTCGGAACTTTAAAATTTTGGAATTTGGTAACTTGAAGACTATGCAGCATTGGAACCGAGAAAAATAAAAATATTTAAATTCTTGAATTTTAGGATTTTGGAATGTTTGGAATTTTGGAAATTTGGAATTTCAAAATTTTACATTTTGACTTCGAAAATTTGTATTTCCTTGTTTTAATAGTTTGGAATTTAAAAATTTGAGAACTTTTCGAATCTAAAACTTTTAATTTCTAAATATTAGGACATTTTTTTTTGTAACGGAATCATAGATTTTTTATGTATAATCAAGTACAGCGTCTGAAGACGAGTATAATTCAAGGTCATTCGAGATGTTGAAAATCAACTACAGAAGAAAATAATTTAATTCATGTAAGCAATAGGAGACTTTGCTGTTTTATCTAATTGTTGATAATGTCGCTTTTGTATGGGATCGTCGAATTTAAACAAACATTTATTTCGTTGTATGTATTATATTTATTTATGTCCATGGACACTATATTATTAGTTTCTAATATTCTATTGCTATATTCATTTAAATAGGGCTCAAATTTTGTATTATAATTTTGCGTTATGTAAAAACAAATAAATCATAATTTCACATTCCTATATTCTCTAATTTCCTAATTCTCAAAGCTCTAAATTTCAATTCTTTTTAAATCTCCAAATTTCAAAATCTTTCAATCCTAAAGTTTCAAATGTGAAAATATTAAAAATTCTAAAAATTCAAATTTGAACTCGAATGTACAGTCGGAATCAACGTAAACTTCTTTTGGATGAGATAAATATTTATCTAAACTTGATAGTTGTAAAAATTTTTAATTTCCAAGTTGTCTTTCCAAATTTCTAAATTTTCAAAATTTTATACTTGCACACCCCTCAATTTCGAATATTTCAATTTGTTAATTTCACAAATTTTTTAAATTAAATCGTCCAATTTCCAGATCTTAATTGTCACATTATTAAATGTCCAAACCTAAAAACGTCCATATTTCTAAATTTTCAAATTAGTATACTTTTGACTTTTCACGATTTCAAATTGTCAAATTCACAAATTTTCTAAATTGTCAAATTGTCAAATTGTCAAATTTCCAGATTTCCAGATTTCCAAATTTCCAAATTTCCAAATTTCCAAATTACTAAATTTCTAAAATTTCAAAATTC